TTTCTAGTTTCATCATTACACAGGACACCAGGAGGGTCACAGCAAAGGATCTAATAACTCCCTGGCACAGTGGGGGTTTTCCTGGAGTCACACCCAGAAATGTGTCAGGACTCTAAGAGGTGTCCACACCTGAGCTGGACTGATGCACTACTAACACCCATTGGGGTGTTCAGAGACACGAGTCCTTCCCTCGCACACACACAGGCAGTTCATTGCAGCAGGGGCAGTGTCTCCCTGGGCTCCTGCTGCCACTCCCAGAGTGTGGAGCCACCTCAGCCCTGTAGTGCTCCCACCCTGCCCACTCCTACACTTCACATGAAAATTGGGGTTTTCTACTCCCTGGAACTGCCCAGTCCAGCCCCTCCCCGGTCCCCCCATGTCTCTACCCTGCCCCAACCCAGTAAAGCAGCACAGTTGTTTCTGGTCCTGCAGCAAGAAAGGGAGGAAAGAGAGGACAGGGACAGTGACTGCATGTCCGGACTGCTCAGGAGATCATCAGCTCAGGCAGTACGTTGACCACAAACTCAACCAAATCTCCCCCAAAAATGACAACAAACTCACCAAATCGCCCCCAATAATGACCAGAAACTCACCCAAATCTCTCCCAAAAAAATGACCAGACACTCACCCAAATCTCCCAAAAAATGACCAAAAACTCACTCAAATCTCCCCCCAAAATACACACAAAACTCACCCAAATCTCCCCAAAGTGACCACAAACTGACACAAATCTCCCAAAAAAATGACCCAAAACTCACGCAAATCTCCCACCAGGAGTGACTTCAAACTCAACAACATCTCCCCAGAAATGGACCCAAAGTTCACCCAAATCTCCCAAAAAATAACCAGAAATTCACCCAAATCTCCCAAAAGAATGACCACCAATTCACCCAAATCTCCCCAAAAAATGACCACAAACTCACAGAAATCTCCCCAAAAAATGTCCAGAAATTCACCCAAAACTCACCCAAATCTCCCCAAAAAAATGACCACAAGCTCACTCAAATCTCCCCCAAAAATGACTAGAAACTCACCCAAATCTCCCCACAACAAACGACCAGAAACTCACCCAATTCTCCCCCCAAAAGTGACCTCAACGTCACCCAAATCTCCCACCAAAAAATGACCACAAACTCACCCAAATCTCCCCAAAAAATGACCCAAAACTCACACAAATCTCCTCAAAAAATTACCAGAAACCCACCCAAATCTCTGCCACAGTCCGCGTGGTAAAGGGGGATGGGACCGGGCACTGCAAAAAGGGTCCTTGGCACAGTTGAAGGTAGTACAGCAATGCCGTATATTCAGGGGGAACAAGGGTTTAAATAAACTAGGTTTGAGGGGCGGATTCTAAACCAGGGAGGCGCAAGAGATTGACAGCTCAGGGAAAAATGTGGTAGGGGGACAGGGGAAAGATGGGTGGAACTCCCGGGTCTCCGAGGGAATGGGCCACTGGTAACTCTCCCTGCACTGTGGTAAATGACAACCAATCAGTGGCAGAGGAGCGGGAAAGTAGGGGAGACAGGGTGACAAACAACTTTTGGAGGGAAAGGCTGAGGGAGAAATGGGGACAATATGGAGGTATAGCAGAATTCATGAAATTTAACAATAAACTGGGGTGCACAAGAATTCATAAGCACACAACAATAAACTGGGGAAAAACTGTCAGTCCAGTCGGTGGATTGTCCAGTAAGTGACAAGTCCATCTCGATTCCATTTATGCTTCTCCAGGCAACATATCTCTCCCATTCTGTCTTCTCATCCACTACAAATCTCCCAAAAAAATGACCAGAAATTCTCCAAAATCTACCAAAAAAATGACCAGAAACTCACAGAAATCTCCCCCAAAAATGACCAGAAACTCACCCAAATCTCCCCAAAAAATGACCAGAAACTTACCCAAGTCTCACCCCAAAAATGACCAAAAACTCACAAAATTCTCCACAAAAAAAGACCTAAAACTCACCCAAATCTCCCCAAAAAATGACTCAAAACTCACCCAGATCTACCCAAAAAATGACCACAAACTTACCAATAGCTGCCCCCAAAATACCCCCAAAACACACCCAAATCTCCACAAAGAAATGACCAGAAACTCACAGAAATCTCCCAAAAAACTGACCAGAAAATCACCCAAATCTCCCACCAAGAGTGACCTCAAACTCACAGAAATCTCCCCAGAAAGGGACGCAAAGTTCACCAAAATCACACAGAAAAATGACCAAACATTCACCCAAATCTCCCCAAAAAATGACCACAAACTCACCCAAATCTCCCCAAAAAATGACTCAAAACTCACAGAAATCTCCCAAAAAATGACCATAAACTGACACAAATCTCCCCAAAAAATAACCAGAAACTCACCCAAATCACCCCAAAAAATGACACAAAACTCACAGAAATCCACCCAAAAAACGACCAAAAACTCACCCAAATCTCCTCAAAAAATGACCAAAAACTCACACAAATCTCCTCAAAAAATGACCACAAACTCAACCAAATCTTGGCAAGAAATGACCAGAAACTCAACCAAATCTCCCCAAAAAAAGACCACAAACTGACCCAAATCTCCCCAAAAAATAACAAGAAATCCACAGACATCTCCCCAAAAATGACCACAAACTCACCCAAATCCCCCCCAAAAACTCACCCAGATCTCCCAAAAAAAAGACGACAAATTCATCCAAATCTCCCCCAAAAATGACCACAACCTGACAGAACTCTCCCCAAAAAATGACCCAAAACTCACCCAAATCTCCGCAAAAAAATGACAACAATCTCACCCAAATCTCCCGCCAAGATACACCCAAAACTCAAACAAATCTCCCCGAAAAATGACCACAAACTCACCCAAATATCCCCCAAAAATGACCAGAAACTCAGTCAAATCTCCCCAAAAAATGACCACAAGCGCACTCAAATCTCCCCCCAAAATACACCCAAAACTCACCCAAATCTCCCCAAAAAATGACCACAAACTCACAGAAATCTCCCCAAAAAATGACCACAAACTCACCTAAATAACCCCACAAAATGACCAACAATTCACCCAAATCTCCCACAAAAAGTGACCTCAAAGTCACCCAAATCTCCTCAAAAAATGACAACAAACATACCCAATCTCCCCAAAAATGACCACAAACTCACACAAATCTCCCCAAAATACATCAAAAACTCACACAAATCTCCCCAAAATTATGACCAAAAACTCACTCAAATCTCCCCAAATAATACACTGAAAACTCACCCAAATCTCCCCCAAAAATGACCACAAACTCACTCAAATCTCTCCCCATAAACTGAAACACTGAAAACTCACACAAATTTCCCCCAAAAATGACCACAAACTGTCACAAATCTCCCAAAAAAAAGACCCAAAACTCACCCAAATCACCCCAGAAAATGACAGGAAACTCACCCAAATCTCCCCCAAAAATAACCAGAAACTCACAAAAACCTCCCCCCAAAATACACCCAAAACTCACACAAATCTCCCCAAAAAATGACCAGGAACTCACAGAAATCTCCCCAAAAAATAACCACAAACTTACAGAAATCTCCCCAAAAAATGACCAGAGGCTCACCCAAATCTCCCCAAAAAGTTACCCAAAACTCACCCAAATCTGCTCAAAAAATGACCAGAAACTCACCCAAATCTCCCACCAAAAATGACCACCAATTCACCCAAATCACCCAGCAAGAGTGACCGCAAACTCAAAAACATCTCCCCAGAAAAGGACCCAAAGTTCACCAAAATCTCACAAAAAAATGAAAAGAAACTCACCCAAATCTCCAAAAAATGCCCAGAAACTCACAGAAATCTCCCCAAAAAATGACCAGAAACTCACTCAAAT